ATTGAACCGGTGACATCGGATCGGTGTGCACATACCGCGGAATTGTTATCTCTTCCAAACGAGACAATGAATTTTTCAATTTATTCCACGCAGTTTCCAAATGCACAGGAATCGACTCATCCCAATCCAACTTGTTCAGCCAGAGTTCCTGCAATAGGATTTTTCCTCTGATTACGATAGGACTAAGCAAGCCGAGGGGGTCGAACAGCTTCGATGTCACCGATAGTATGTTCCGCTTTGTCGCTCTGAGACCCATGACGGAATTGTCAATTTCAAACTTGAAAGAATCTTCGTTAGGCAACCACGATGTTCCTAACGCCTTCGTCGACTCTGAATCCGAGATCGGTATGGATTTAACTGTGCTCTCAGATGCGGTGACCTCAGGTGAGTTCGAAAACCACTTTGTCAATTCAAACCCGGCGGTTTGAAGAACCTGAGACACTTCAGACCTAATAGATCTGAGCTCCTCGACGCATGCAGCACCAGTTAGCATATCATCGACGTAAAAGTCGGATCCAATCACTTCAGCAGCTCTAGGGAATGAAAGTTTGGCAGATTCACTCAACCTTTTTAAACACCGAATCGCTAGATATGGAGCTGGACCAGTTCCATATGTTACGGTGTTGAGCTGGTATAATCTCAAGGATTCTGAGGGGTCTCTTCTCCACACTATGAGTTGAAATGGCCTATCCGCTTCATTTACCATTACTTGGCGATACATTTTTTTAACATCGGCTGTCAGAGCAAACCTGTGCAGCCGGAAGCGGAGCAGTGTGGAGTATAACTCATCTTGGATAGTTGGGCCTACCATCAAGATATCATTTAGGGACACCTGAGATGACGTTTTGCAAGAGGCGTCAAACACGACACGCAACTTAGTAGACGTACTCTGGGGCCTAAGGACACACTGATGCGGAATAACATAATGTGGAGTCAAGGGAACTCTATTGTCTGTAGGAGACATATGACCTAACGCGAGGTATTCTTCCATGAATTCGAGATACATTTTATTTAATTCAGGATCTCGCGACAACCTTCTTTCGAGCGACAGAAATCTCCTTTTTGCAACCTCGAATGAGTTGCCCAATCCAGTGGGATCAGATTTAAACGGCAATCTAACTTCAAACCGACCTGATGGCAAAACCTGAGTGGTCTTTCTATAGTGTTCTTCACACAACTTATGCTCAGGTGATAGAATTTTCTTTATAGATGGCATTTCTTCCAGTGACCAAAACTTTTGTAGCGTGCTATCAATCGATACGAACAGCTCTTCACTACAACTATAACTATTCACAACATCTCTTGGGGCAGACGCCTTGTATCTGCCTGAAACAACCCATCCAAGTAGGGTCTTTTGAAGAGTTGGATAGTCAGGACCTTGCTTAATTTGACCAACAGCTAAAAGCTCGAAAAATGATTCTGCTCCTATCAACATATCTATTCTTTGTGGCTTGTAGAAATAGGGGTCTGCTAATGGTACGTTCTTTGGAATTTTCCAGTCACTGATATTCACAGACTGGTCCGGATGATATCCGGATATCGATTTCAGAATCCAAAAATCGAACGAAAATTCACTACCATTTATTCGCGACTTCACCACTGTGTGTACCTTTTTCTTAACTTGAGAATTGGATTCGCCAATACTAAGTAAGTTGATACACGATTCCTCTTTACGGATCTGTAAGCGGCGAGCAAGGTCTTCTGTAACGAAATTGGCTTGAGACCCAGAGTCAAGAAGGGCTCGAGCCAAAATGTATTCACCGCTTTTCGTGCGGACACTTACGATCGACGTGGCCAAAATCACCCTGTCCAATGATGTCGCATGCATAACATGTGACGTGGAAGGCTGATCCTGACTTTTAGAGGGAGACAGACTCTCTTGGGGTGGTGGCAACGTTAAACTATTCTCGGAGACGGTATACCTGTGCAGTAAAACGTGATGCGAGCGACCACAAACTCGACATTTACTACTCTTGCATTTGGAAACCGTATGACCCTTTCGCAGACAATTTATGCACAAAGACGCAGATTTAACAAAATCGAACCTTTGCATTACTGACAGCCGACCAAACGGACTGCAGTTCGCTAGGACATGGTCTCCAGCATTGCAATAGCTACAACTTTGCACGGACTTAGTGTTGGTCGAAGAACACGAAAACGAGCTTCGATTATGTTTGCTCGGAATTAATTTATCTTGCTTTGGTTTTGATGTTTCCTCAGCAGATAAATGCTGATATCGGCGATTCAACATCTTCTCACAATCGGACCAAAGCGGCAAAGTTTTATAATTGAGCTGTTCTTCCCATTTTTGTTTAGTCACTGGGTCTACTCTGTTCAAGACGAGATAAATCAACATTGCATTGGATATTTTTGTATCATCTCCTATCGATAACAACGATCCATAAATTGATGAAACGGTATCGATAAGGCTTCTTAAGGAAGACGCTGGTTGGTGCGTAATTTTTGGAAGAGTGAACAATGTTGAGATATTATTCATAAAAATCAAGCATTCGTTATCGTAGACTTTTTTAAGGCTGGCCATAGCCTTCTCATAATTGCTCGCGGTGACTTGATAAGCCTTAATAGTCCCTAAGGCTTCACCGGAGAGACACGAAATTAGGTGGTTAAATTTCTCGATAACTGGAATGCTGTCGTCTTGATGAACGAGAGTTTCAAAAAGGCTGATGAAATTTTTAAACTCCGAATATTTGCCGCTGAACTTTGGCAAGGCCAAATTCGGAAGTCGAGCTCGAGTTGGGGCTACAGAAGCTGATCCGGAAATTTTTGGATCGCTTGCTGTCTTCAAGGCCGACAAGAGCGACATTAATTTTGCCTTGGTAACAATTGATAGCTCCTCCAACTCATCTCTAAATTCATCGCCATCATCTATATCTTCTATCTCTTCTTGCAATAGATTTGCCTTATTTATTGCATCGTTTAACGTATCTAATCTACATTTTAATTCTTCTTCTTTAATCGCGATCGCGCCAGAATCGAGTCGATCACTTAATCGGCGAATGCTTTTTACTCGATTTTGTAACTTGGCTTTCAAGTCTTCAAGCAGGTTACTTTTTGGCTTTTCTTGGCTCATTTTTGAATTAAATTATCAAAAACCAAATTTATTAAAGTAAATTATTAAAGGACCAAGTGTGAAAAATTTAAATGAAATTAATTTTCGAATTAAACCACAAAAAAAAAAAATAATTTATAAATTATTAAATTTGTTCGAAAAAAAATTATTAAATAATTATTATTATTAAATAATTATTTAAAAGCGAGAAACAACGAAAATAATTTTTAAATTGAATATCGAGGCACGAAGTATCAAAATTAATAGTTGGTGCAAACGACGGTGAAAAACAATATACCCAACCGAATGCGGGGTAGCGCGTCACTTGACGGTCCGTTAACCTGTAGCGCGCCCAAATGACAAGAACCCAACAACAACAACAACGCTGCTAGCGGCGACCAAGCGAAAGCGAAAACGAAAAAAAGTTTACCGCTGCAGCTGCTTGTATATAAGGGCTTATTTATTTGTGTATAACGGCTCAGATTAACTTCCCAACTATTAACTTGCGAGGTTTTAACGATAATTAAAAACAAGGGGGGCGACAGTGATTGCAATAATTTAACACAATTTAACAAAAGTTGCATCCAAATTGGTTCAAATAGTACACATCAATTTAGCACTTGTAAATATATTAGGTATTTATATATATATTATGGCTTTAATATTTTGCTACTCTTTGAAATTATTAAAATTGTTTAAATTTTATTTTGCATGCGATCTAGCTCTACTATTTTGTACATATGTGCCAAGAATTGAAAGCGACGTGCAATTTTTCAGCACTAGACAATCAACAAATATTTCTAGTTTTTTGTCAAAACTCAGCTTTCAATTTTTTGCACAAATACCTTTGGTTCTTCGTTTGGATCTTTCAATCCAGCTGCCACTTTCCTTTTGCAACTCGAACAATCGCAGGGCATCCCTCGTCGGTGGCAGAAACGTCGAATTAGGTTTTTAATTTCGCGACCGGCACGATTAAATTAATAACTGGAGCTTAGTATTTTCTTTAAAACACACGTCGCGGGCAACTTTGTATTTCACACGCAGTTTTGGATTTCTGGGCAACTTTCTGTATCAAAAAAACACAAGAACAAATCACTTGCACTTTTATGTTATTTGTGTCACTGTCACTTTTAAAAAATTTGTTGCCTTTTATTTAATTAATTAGTCCACCCGGGGGCGCCATGAAAAAATTAGAAGCGTTTTTCTAATTATTTAATTTTCCGAAACTTGGGTGGCTAAATTAATTTATTCGGCAAACAACGAAACGAAAAATAAATGCGTGCGCTCGATCAAACTCAATTTCAACGAATCCTCTATTCTCCACAATCATACTTAAGCCTAGCTTACCGAAGGTTGGCGAAGACGGAGCGAACTCGCAGAGAGCGAACAAAAGCTTTATTGCGCTCCCGCCTTCGCCCTAAACTAACTTACAGTAAACTTCAAATTCAATTCAACAATACTTATTTTAACAATTCAAAAAATAAAAAATGAAACTGGCTTCAGCCAACAAAATGAGTAAGTTTATTTTATTGAACTTAATTACATCGACGCATTTCCGCGAATGTATCGTATGTTGAAAAATCAAATTTTACAGGAGAAGCTTTTTTTGTGATTCGGTATTTTTGTGCGATTGCAGTATTTCCATGCAAATGAAAAAAATTTGTATGGACATACGATAATTTCGCGCGCACATTGTAACATACGATAAAATTGAAACTTAATTTTTATCAGAACTATAGGGCTTTCAGTTATAATATTGCACAGGGTAGTGGGACATTAGGTGCCTAACAATTTTGCATTAAAATCTCAATTTCGAAAAAAAGCGACATACGATACTTTCGCGGAAATGCGTCGACATGTTATTGTTTAACTTTTGAAGAGTATTAGAAAAAAAATTATTAAAAAATATAAAGAAATAAGCCTGTGGAGTTTAATCTCCCGAAGCACCTAAAGAAAAAGTGAACATCGTAGGGCGTTAACGGATCATCTTAAAAATCAGGAAGAGTTTTAAAAAATGTTTTTTTTTTGTCTATTTTTCGGAGCACTTGAAAGTGAAAAGTGCGATTTTAGCTTAAAAAATCCCTGTTAATTTATTTTTTAAAAATTGAAAAAAATTAAAAATTAAAAAAAACTCTTCCTGGTTACCTGCGTATTTATGTTGAGAATTTGTGTTAAAAATTTGAAAAGGATTCAAAGGATTCGGTTCAGTAGATTTTGAGTTCTGATGTTAACCGACTTTCAAAATAACGTCTTCGGCAAATTCGATTCAAAGTATTTTTATACGTGAAAATACGTCCAAATACGGTTATTTAAAACGCTGTAACTCCGTTAGTTTGACTTTAATTGACTCCAAATTTTTACACAATGTTCTCGACATTGGTCATTCAGAAAAAAAATAAAAAAACAAGAAAGCAAGCTAGCTTCGGCAAGCCGAAGCTTATATACCCTTGCAGTCATCAAATATGTCGAACAAAATGCATAAAGGCTAAACAACATCGAAGCTATAACGATTTTTCTATTCATTTTCCATATTTCCGATTATATGGGAGCTATATGATATAGTTGTTCGATTTTGATCAAATTTAATTCGTAATTCAAGAGTTGTTAGAAAACTTTATATTCAAAAAATCATGCTTATCTAATAAAAAACAACGATGTTATCTGTTGAGCTAATAAGCTTTTTTATTAGCTGTTGAATTAAAAAATTAACAAGAATTTTGAGTTCGATTTATGCGAGAGCAGCGATTTTATTTCGACGAAATGAGTTATAAAGTTCCGCGAGATCGAAAGGAAGTAATACAATTGAATTGAGTCGCGGATCAGCCGATTGCTGACCCAAAAAAGAAGCCGACAAGCAACGAGAGAGAGCAAGTAGAAAGATAACGAGAGAGAGAGCGATGGTAATTATGCAGATAAGCTAAGAGCTAGCATTAAGAGATCCTAAATATCTGCTGCGGCTGGATGACCCGACATACTCCCCCCGTTGGAAGCCTGGCTTTCAACAGCATCCTTAAGGGGCAGCAGACACAGCTTATTAACTGCTCGTTTTGTCACTCCTGATGCTGTCTTGAGGACTGCAACACGAGCAACTCCATCTCCACCACACAGAAGCTCAACGACTCTCGCTAGGGGCCACTTCATCGGAGGCAAGTTCTCGTCCTTGACCAGCACCAAGTCACCTACAACCAGGCCAGGCTTCGGGGTGCGCCATTTGGAGCGCTGCTGCAGTAGTGTCAGATATTCTTCCTTCCATCGGGTCCAGAAGACTTGCTGCAAATAGGCCACACGTTGCCATCCATCCAACCGATTGAAGTTAAGGGCGGTCACATCCGGCTCGATGAATGAGGATGGTGGACCACCATTCAGAAAGTGGGCTGGCGTTAGCACATCCAGATCAGCGGGATTTTCTGAAATTGAGACTAAAGGCCGAGAGTTAACTACTGCCGAAATATGGCACAGAAGAGTCCGCAGCTCGTCGAAGGCCAGCACTGAAGGTCCAATAGCGCGGTAGAAATGGTACTTCGCCGTCTTCACCGCTGCTTCCCAGAGACCACCAAAATGCGGCGATCTGGGAGGAATAAAGCGCCAATCAATAAGCTCCGCTAGGCAAAAGTCCAACGTCGCTTTCTGATGCTCGTCGCTGAGGAACAAGCGTCTCAACTCAAGCAGCTCATTGCGTGCACCGACAAAGTTGGTTGCATTGTCCGACCAAATCTGCCGCGGTCTTCTCCTGGTGCATATAAATCTCTTGAGGCCATGCAGAAATGATACTGTTGAGAGATCCCTGATCAACTCCAAGTGAATGGCCTTTGTTGCGAAGCAGATAAAGACGCAAACGTAGCATTTCACTGGGGCCTTATTTCGCACTTCCGGCTTGTAAAAGAATGGCCCACAAAAATCAATGCCAGTGACTTCAAATGCATGCGATCCATCCAATCGCTCCTTTGGGAGATCCGCCATTACATGCTCGACTAATCGAGGCTTCGTTCGAAAGCATCTGACGCATTTGTTCAAGACCTTGCTCACCGTCTTCCTCCCCCCAATAGGTCAATACTGGGATCGAATTATGCCGAGTAGGGCCCGAGGTCCAGTGTGCAGATTACGCTCATGAAAGTGAGTAATGACGGCGGCTGTGACAGGATGGCTCCGTGGCAATATGATTGGATGACGGCCATTGAAATCCAGCGACGAGTTTTTTAGTCGGCCATCCACTCTAAGAAGCCCAAACTGATCAATAAAAGGAGATAGAGACGCAAGCGAACTAGATGGGGCTACAACTCCCTTAGACTGCAAGGATTTTATGTCTTCCCATAAATGAGAACGCTGAACCAGCCGAAGCAATAACTGAGTACCGCTTTGGATATCCGACACCTTAAGATCCGACTGCCGAATGCGATTAATAAATTTGAAGACGTATCCGAAAATCCTTTGAAGCGAAGCGAAGGAATTTGCAAATTTGGAACAGGCTATGATGTCTACGTATGGCGATTTAATTAGCAGGACCTTTCGACGAAGCTCAAGTGTTGACTTCTCAGCAAGGATTGGGGGAGGCCAGTCAATCTTGGGTCTGCAAAGAAATGTCGGCCCGTTAAACCATATAGGGGACTCGCTCAGCTCAGTGGGAAGGACACCTCGGGAGAGAATGTCAGCCGGATTCAAAGAAGTTGGAACGTAACGCCACTCCATCGAATCGGTTCGCTCTTGGATGGCAGCAACTCGGTTTGCCACAAACATGTTGAATCTGGAGGGCTCGTCTCGGATCCAGGACAGAGCAACCGCAGAGTCACTCCAACAATAATACTGTCCCTTAAATACGTTGGTGCCACTTACTTCTGAGATGAGCTTAGACAAGAGATCGGCTCCACAAAGCTCCAGCTTGGGCACGGTGAGTGTCTTCAAGGGAGCGACCCTTGACTTTGAACAAAGCAACTGCGACTGTCCACTGCACACGATGTAGACACAGGCGCCGTATGCTTCCATGCTGGCATCACAAAATCCATGGACCTGAATCTCTGAGTTTGGAGACAGAACTAGCCGAGGGAAACACAAACGCTTGATTTGCACAAAACTCCTGCATATCGAACTCCATTCCGTATTCTGAGCTTCAGGAAGGCTTTCATCCCAGGATAACCTTTCCTTGCACAATTGCTGAAGGAAAATTTTCGCTATCACCGGTCCAACCAATCCAAGAGGATCATAAAATCGTGCAATGGCAGACAAGACAGAACGCCTACAGGGACTTGAGGTCAACTGCAAGACAGAAAAAGAGAACAATAGCTGATCAGAAGCAGGATCCCAGGCTAAGCCCAGAGTTTTGGTAAAGTCAGTGCCGTCATCAAACTTCAAATATGACTCCTTATCTTCGTCAGACACACCACACAAAGCCGCTGGAACGTTTGAGCACCACTTTCTAAGTTTGAAGCCTCCTCTGGACAGAATTTTAGAGGTCTGATTTACAATGATGATAGCCTCGTCCACGGTCTGGGCTCCAGATATCAAATCATCTACGTAAAAGTCACGCTGAATAACCTCAGCCCCAAGCGGAAACGAAGAATGCTCGTCTCTTGACAGCTGATGCATAGCCCGCACAGCCAGAAATGATGCAGGCTTCGTGCCATAAGTGACGGTGTCCAGCTTGTACACTTGCAGCTTGTCCTGTGGGGAAGTCCTCCATAAAATGCATTGCAAATAGCTGTCCTCTGGATGGACCTTGACACAACGGTACATCTTACAAATGTCTCCAGTGATGGCTACCGGGTATGAGCGAAAACGAATCAGAATCTGGAACAGGGTGTGCTGAATTACGGGGCCTGCCATGAGCAAATCATTAAGAGAGTAGCCTGATGAAGTCGCGGCAGATCCGTCAAAAACTACGCGAAGCTTTGTAGTGGAACTCTCCTCCTTTATGACGCAATGATGAGGCAAAAAGAAGCGACAAGAAGCGAGGTCTGCGCCAGCAACTGTTGACATGTGCCCCAAGTCAAGGTATTCCTTTATAAAAGCCGCATATTGGGACTTCAAGGCTGGCCGACGATCTAGTTTCCTCTCTAGGGACAGGAATCTACGATAAGCTTGCTGGTAGGACTCACCCAATAATTCCAGATTGAGCTTGGCAGGCAAACGAACAGAATAATCTCCAGCAGGAGAGCGAATGAAATGCTTTGTAAAGTGCGCCTCACAGTCCAGTTCTTCCTTAGTAGCATGTGCAACTGGCTCCACGCAGCTTTCCACCTCCCAAAATCGACGAAGAAGATCATCAAGTCGATCCAAGCTATTATCCTTATTAATGGTAGGCAAGGCCATGGTCGAGATTAACGATGAGCCATTGGAGACGCCATATCCTCCGGAAACAACCCAGCCCAGGCGAGTTTTTTATATAAGCGGTAAGCCAGGTGGGAGCTTAATTTGCCCAACGCACAACAGCTCGTAAAACAAACTGGCTCCAATCAAGAGATCCACACGCTGAGGGACATAAAATGTGGGATCAGCTAATTGTATGTTTTGCGGTATTTTCCAGCTGCCGATGTCCACATTGAAACTAGGCTGTCGCTCAGTTATATTGGGAGCAATGACTGCGGTTATGTTCACCGTGTATTCAGAGGTTCGGGACTGCATCGTAATATTGACTGAGTGACCATTGGTAACAAAGCTGGAATCACCTATTCCAGTCACAGAAGCCGAAGTCTTTATCTTCTTTATTTGAAGCTGATCTGCGAAGCGAGATGTTATAAGATGCAGCTGAGAGCCGGAGTCAAGGAGGGCTCGACATGGAACGAAAACTCCAGACCGATTTTTTATGATAACAGTGGCAGTGGCTAGGAGCACAATGTCAGTACTGAAATCCTGAGCAATAAGAGCAGTGGATGAGGAAGGCGCGGCAGATGGTTCAACGACAGTATTGGGTGCAATAGAGGCATGAGCTTCTAGAAGCTGAGATCCTGTCTGTGGAGTAGCTGAGGCCAAATTTCCCAAGTGAAGGAGGGTGTGGTGTTTAGCTCCGCATGCACGACAATTGCTTGAATTGCACTGCCTCAACTTAAGGCAGTTTATGCAAAGAGCGAGTCTCTTCACTTCTTGAAGCCGATTAGCAGGGGGTAGGGCTTTAAAATCTTGGCAATAGTGAATAGAGTGACCAGAAGCATTACAGTATGAACAAATCCATGGGTTGATATTTGTGGCAACAAAAGCGGATCTACGGGAATTAGTCGTTCTATTATTTCCCACCTGATTGCCAGACGCATAGCTTGCCATGGCGAAATCCATCGTCTCCAATGTCCTGCATCGCTGCTCCAAAAATGATGCCATGGATTCCCACGTCGGAATTACATTGAGGAATGCTGGATCCTCTAACCGCTCTTCCCATTTGGCCTGGCTCGCAGAATCTAGCTTTTGCAGCAGTACTTGGACGATGATGCATCCTGCGATTTGTTCAGTTGTGCCCAATCCTTTTAGAGCACGAATATGAGCGTTAAACTTATCGGACAGCTCACGAAGCATCGAGACGGAACCACTCTGCACTGCCTTAAGCCCCAGGATCTCAGTAATGTGTGCCTGAAAAACTAAACGACGATTATCAAATCTTTTTTGCAACAAGTCCAATGCCACAGAATAATTGCCATCCGAAATTTCCAGCGAGTGGATGGTTTCCAACGCAGAATGCCTCAGGCATGAACGTAGATGCTGCAGCTTTTCTATGTTGGTCAGGTCAGGATGACTATCTATGATGGTTGTAAACATAGAATAGAAATCTGCCCAATTCGCATAACCTCCAGCGAATTTCGGAAGTTCAAGAGCGGGAAGTGGAATCGCTCGGCGCAGAGCTTCCCGCTGCTGATGGCCGAAATGACCGGGCGTATTGCCATCAGCAAAGGTTGAGTGCTGAAGCAGTTGCGAGGAACGCTTTGTGATCTCCGATCGAACCGTCGACTTCAGGATTACGACGACATCATCAAATTTTTCCTCCAAGTCATTTCCAATTTCCTCAAAGTCCAATTCTTCCAGCTCGTTGAGAACCTTTTTAAACGCCTTTTGAAGCTCCTCGATGAGTTCCAACCTCACATGAAGGCCAGAATCGTCAAAAGAATTCAAAGCCGAACTTGAAAGGGATTCCATTAACCGCTCCACTCTATTAAACATTGAAGTTGCCTTGCGCCTCAAAAATGTCACCCTGTTTGAATTGCGATTGTCGGTGACGCTAACCGAATTTTCTGAAGCCATGTTAAGCAGCAACAACAACAAATAAATGCAGCAGATTCGGCGGGCAAAATTCGGCTTCAGCGGGAAGATAAGCGTAACGGGGAACAGCGAAAATTCGGTCCGCTTCTGGTCTATATACCGCCTTATGTAAAGCTTTTGTAACCAGAGTGCTATTATTTGCATAAATCAATTAATTTTATTGTTTTACAACAAACATAAAGTGAGATATGCAGCAGACTCAGCGGGCAAAATTCGGCTTCAGCGGGAAGATGAGCGCAAAGGAGAATGCGAAAAATTGGTCCGCTGCTGGTCTATATACCGACTTATGTACAAGTTTGTGTAACCAAGAGTGTTATTATTTTCACAAATCAATTTATAATATTTGTGTTGTTTATGGCAGGTAAACGCACAATGTAGCTGCAACACAGATTAAGCAAAATATGCAGCCTGGTAAAATAAATTAATTTTTGTGACTTGCACTGAGTACCTTTTATGCACAAATCACGTCGGGGTCACCAAATGTTGAGCTAATAAGCTTTTTTGTTAGCTGTTGAATTAAAAAATTAACAAGAATTTTGAGTTCGATTTATGCGAGAGCAGCGATTTTATTTCGACGAAATGAGTTATAAAGTTCCGCGAGATCGAAAGGAAGTAATACAATTGAATTGAGTCGCGGATCAGCCGATTGCTGACCCAAAAAAGAAGCCGACAAGCAACGAGAGAGAGCAAGTAGAAAGATAACGAGAGAGAGAGCGATGGTAATT